TAAGGTTCTAGCTTCTGGGTTACATCCATATGCAGCTCTATCGGTCAACAGTCTAGGCTCGCATAAATGAATGGTTCTGCTATAGAGGCCAGGGGAGGAACTTAAGAGCAACATACAAGATGAAAAATGACCTATTTTATATCTTAGAACAGGGTCAGTGTGTCACATTTAGGCATTTTAAGTTACTTAAAAAATAAACAATGTACCCCAGTTTTAAACCATCATCCATACATTTAGCTGTCCTTGGTGATATTGATGTTTGTAAACGACCACAGAAGTTAATGTTTAAGACCATGTAATGTGAAACAGGTGGCAGTCTAAAGGTTTATAACATACCATCACATGAACTAAACTTTAGGAGATTGGAGCCATTTTGAAATGGTAGCAACACACTTTAGTCTTCACTCTTACTAGCTGTTAGCGCATCACTCCTGAATGATGACTCATATTTTTAACAAGTTACGGAAGAATTGAACATAATGGCTTTTAATCCTAGAGCGTGTAGATGTGTAGTTGTCTGAACACTGAATCCCACGAGAACCTTGGTAGGGTGGGTCTATGTCCAGTTGGTCTGTTGAGTAATGCCCCCACCCCACCCCCCAGCTTTCAGCTACACTTAAAGCATTTTTACAGATTTATATCATTTATAGAATAAAAATGCAAACACTAGTGAATTTTATACTAAAATAATCCTTTAAATCCTAAACAAATAGGAAAAACAAATCTGAATCATTGAAGAACACATGAGGATGTCAGCTGATTAGTATCTTCTGACTTTTTTAACACCAATTCATGGTTTCCAAACAAACATAGCCGTCTGTGCAATTGCTATTTTTCTCCTTGTGTGAACAGACCAGAGGCCTCGTTTATAAAATGTTGCGTAGAAACTTAAACACTACTTGAGCTCAGAAAAAAAATCTACTAACGCAAACTCATTTTCATTTTTACATCCCACCTTCTGCACGCTTCCTTTCTGCCATAAACAGTCAATACAGAAGACTTAACGAATACTCTGTAAATGAATAAGCCGGCTGATCGGCGGCATTTCACGAGTGACTGTGACAACGGAGAGGTCTATAGAACGTAATGTCACTGAGACTGAAAAATATAGGTCCTTGTGGGTGACGTAAAAGCACAGAACAATGTTGAATTGCCTTCCAGCAGCACTGCGTTGTTGCAGCAGTGAGCTGTGAAGCCACACAGCGATTGTGGCAGACATAAATAAGTTGTTCACATTTTCTCGTCAAGATTTCCTTTAAAAGTCACAAAGTTTGTGTAGAAAACGACTCAAGCAATTTCCAGACCCCATTTTGTGCGTAAGCAAGCGTTATAAAAGAGGCTCCTGGATTAATCTGATTCAGCTGAAGTTCTTCACATTCAGTTGCTTTTACACATCTGTCCAGTAGGTGGCAGTACCCCATTAACAGCTGGTTTACCAGCTGCATATTTAACCCCCATTCATCTGGCTTTTACACACACACTAAACGTATACAAAAATGTTTAATGAAGGATCTTCCCTCAACATCAATACAAAACAGTTTAATTACTTTTTGCTTGCTTCTTATTTTATCATTGGAAACTGGTGACCCATTTATTCAAGCCCCTTCATTGTGAAAACACTTGAGCTCACCACTGACGGGGTTTCTGTAGACCCCTGAGATTGAGTGCGTAGAAACAAAGACAGAAACCATGAACTGGCCTTTAAAAGACACCGTAAGCAGGGAGATTAAGTATTTGATGAATGAGAAAACAGGATGAAATGTAAAATATGTTCATTGACAGTATAAAAATCACAGAGCTATGGGTGAAAGCAGCTGAAGCTCTAAGATAATAATAATAATAATAATAATAATAATAATAATAATAATAATAATAATAATAATAATAATGCATTGAACTTATATAGCACTTTTCTAGACACCCAAAGACGCTTTCACACACTCTCACATTCACACACTGCTAGTGATGGTAAGCTACTTGTAGCCACAGCCGCCCTGGGGAGGTCTGACAGGGGCGAGGCTGCCATTTGGTGCCGTCGGCCCATCTGACCACCACTAACACAGGCAAGTTGGGTGAAGTGTCTTGCCCAAGGACACAACAGCAGGATACCCCTGGCAGGAGCTGGAATCAATCCCATGACCCTCCGATCATGAGGCAACCCGCTCTACCACCTGAGCTACTGCTGATGATGACTGGATCATCACTCTGGCAGGAGAGTCTTTTCACCAAACTCAGATCGGTAATCCAGGCCTGCGTGTTCAGTGGAGCTTAACTACCCTGAAAAACCATCTGATGGTTTTTGTGTTGGATTTCAGGCCCTGTCCACACGTAGCCGGAGATCTGCCAAAACGTAGATATTTTACTACGTTTTGGCCTGTCATCCACACGAAAATGGAGTTTTTTCACACAAAAACGAATCTTTTTAAAAACTCCAGCCAAAGTGAAGATCTGCGTTTTCTCCGTTTTGGTGTCTGCATGTGGCCAGACAAAACCGGAGTTTTAAGGTCTGCAACGTCACTTTCCGCGACAAAAAAATGCTGACATCACGTGTGCGACCTGTGTTTACACTAGCCGACAGCATGGATGCCCTCAGAGCTGCGCTCGCTTTATCCATTGTCCAAGCGCTTTTTGCTTGTTTGTTTTTGCAAGCGGAATTACTGCTCCTTGCGGAAGACCACAGACGAAGGACGAGGTTAAGAACGGGGGAAGTACTGCCGCCTACAGGTCTGGCGTGTCCTTAACAACGTATTTATCCGGGTACGTGTGGACAGAGTTTATTTTTAAAACGAGGTGGTGTGGATGCAAGTTTTTGGAGGGGCGGATATTCGTTTAAAAAAAAAAACCCGGCTACGTGTGGACTAGGCCTCAGTCATCTAAGAACTCAATGGCCAATTATTTACCATGATGATGGATTACACAAAGGTACTGTTGCAGGGTCTGTGTCCCACATAGCTGCTGTGGAAGTACTGTCTTCACAATAACAGTAAAATGTGGTGAAATACAAGGAAACAGGGAACAGATGGGTCAAGGGGAACAAACAGAAAGGAGATATCATATTTCCATCAGGATTTTCTATGAGCCTTATAACCAGCTGCACACTCGTCATTTGTTTCTTAGGACACAAATTAACACTTTGAGTTTGGTTCTCCGAAAACATCTGTTAATGGTCCTGTATCATGAAAAATCCACTTTTTTGAGCTTGTGAACATGTCATATTATTTCCTCATGAAAAACACCCCAACAAGTTTTCTGGCTCCACACATGCCTTTTCATGTCTCAGCTGCCTCTTCCTTTTATCTTTGCTAAGCTATTGCAAAAGCCTTGATGGGGCATGTTTCTGTCATGACACCCTGATCCCTCCTTCCTTGTACTGTAAACACTAAGACCCAGTCTCTCTGTGTAGCTAGAAAGGAGTTTCTTTCTTATCTAGTCTGCACTTTAAATATTGTCCAGAACCCAAAAAAAGACTTTTGTCTGCAAGAGGAACAAGATCCCTCTCCACTCTTCCTTAAGAAGGGTTTAATCAGCAGAAATGGTTAGCTTCTACCTTCAGGCTCAAAACCTGAGCCAGAATGTGACAGTGATTTCACAGACTGCTTGTTAAACCATCACCAGTACCGGCGTGGGTTTTCAGATACTTGATACTTCTTCAAACTGGTGCCATTCAATGTTAAAACCACTCAATGAGAGGCCAGGGTGGTAAGTATAACCAAGATGCTAACTGCTAGCTGAATAGCTATAGAGTTTGGTGGGTGAGTGTCAAGGATGGACTGGGACAATAATTCAGGCTGGGAATCTGCAATCATCAGGGGGGTGGGGTGCCACTCAGTGATCTCTGAGTGGGACACGTCAACCACTAGGAAATGTCCCGGTCCTCCTGACAGCTGCTACTGTGTTGCAAAAGGTGCTTTTCTGGAGATCTAGGGTTACATTTGGAAATGGGTGGAATTAAAGTGAATCCAAGCATCTTTTTTCTGGGTTGGAGGAATGGCTCACAAAAATAAATTATATTTCATAAAAAATGACATCTCAGTAGTGCCAACGGTAACATCTGATCATATATTGTTACTCTGGAAAGTGCAAAACACGATACAGACCCTTTAAATCTTGTTCTCATTCTGGGTGGATTTCAGACAGAAACAGACATCAAGGTGAATCTTTTAGCTGCAGCTAGTTTGGTTGTAAAGAGTCTGATTTGATCTTTCAGGATCATGTTACCTAAACCTGCTCACAGGTACTGATCTAAATCCATCTGTAGAACTTGATGCATTTTCTAACCACACATTTAAAGCTCTTTGTGTGGACAAATTGTAAACAACAGTTTACAATGGAGTAATAAGTGAAATATTACAAATATAAATAAAATCTCCACTAACATTCAGCATCATTATGCATCAAATACAAAAACATGTCAGAAATTATAATTGATGAACAATTATGTATTACAGTTGATAACATGATAAATAATTAATAAAAACATTTTTGATCGACTTATTATCAACATTTATCAACCCTTTCTAATTTGATTTATCCTGATGTGTTCAGTAATAAGCTCTGCTCATTTTTTTCTGCCTTATGTAGGTTTTTGTAGAATTTGTTGTGTTTATTTTTGTAGAACTAAAGGAAAAGTGCTTTACCCCTAAAGAATCAGTACACACACTAAATTAAATCCTCTGGGTCATATTTTGAGCTTAACACCTTTGCTTGGTCAGGATAAACAAAACTTATTTTAACAAATGCACAAATTTATGAGTTTTAGATTCCTTTCAGATAGAAAAAGCTTGTTTTTGATGTCCGACTCTCACAGAAAACCATAAAGTATCTCAGAACGGCAACTAGCAACACTCAGAATGACCTTTCATTAAAACAAATTCTCTCTTGATGATGTTTGGGATTTAATGTGTGTGTAAGGGTCACAGTATAACAGGGTGGGGTTTACAGATAACACTCAGATTGTGCAGCCTGGTAAAACAGATACTGGGAGATTTACAAAAACTTACCCCATTCCTCCTCTTCCTCTTGGTCCACCTCGGCCCCCTCGATCAAAAGAGCGATCAAATCCACCTCCTCCACGACCTACAAAAGTACCGCCACGACCCCGTCCACCGTGGCCATCCTGACTTCCATAGCCTCCATCAGGACCTCCGTATCCTCCTCCATCTCCTCCTTCACTCATCGGTGGGCTGTCGGCTCTGTAACCTGAGATCAAGTTCAGACAATCAGACATCATCAGATAAGTGCAGCAGGAACAAACAGAGGTTTCCATCATAATGTTCAAACTGCACGTCTTAATGCTCAGTTCTATTTTGTCTAGGATGTGATTTAATGAAGACATCAGACTCCAGCCTACGGCCCTGAAGTCACACACGGGCTACGCAGCACGCTGTGCTGACAGAATTAAACAGGGGCGCTGCATGTCAAAGTGTGTGCACAAGTTCTGGGGGTGTTGTGTAAACTAAGCTGATAAAAATGTGACAAAATGATTAAGCAAAGCTTGTTTACATTTGATACTGATGTCCATTTGAAAAACGTAAGTGTCTGATTCTAAATCACAAGTGAGAGCTGCCAGGTTCTGATGTGAAAAAAGAATCGTCATCGTCGTCTTCCTCCGCTTATCCGGGTCCGGGTCGCGGGGGCAGCATCCCAACTAGGGAGCTCCAGACCGTCCTCTCCCCGGCCACCTCCACCAGCTCCTCCGGCAGGACCCCAAGGCGTTCCCGGACCAGAGTGGAGATGTAACCTCTCCAACGTGTCCTGGGTCGACCCGGGGGCCTCCTGCCGGCAGGACATGCCCGAAACACCTCCCAAGGGAGGTGTCCAGGAGGCATCCTGACCAGATGCCCAAACCACCTCAGCTGACTCCTTTCGATCCGGAGGAGCAGCGGTTCTACTCCGAGTCCCTCCCGAATGTCCGAGCTCCTCACCCTATCTCTAAGGCTGAGCCCAGCCACCCTACGGAGGAAACTCATTTGGGCCACTTGTATCCGCGATCTCGTTCTTTCGGTCATTACCCAAAGCTCATGATCATAGGTGAGGATTGGGACGTAGATCGACCGGTAAATCGAGAGCCTGGCTTTCCGGCTCAGCTCCCTCTTCACCACGACAGATCGGCTCAGCGTCCGCATCACTGCAGACGCCGAACCAATCCGCCTGTCGATCTCCCGATCCCTCCTACCCTCACTCGTGAACAAGACCCCGAGATACTTAAGCTCCTCCACTTGAAAAAAGAATCAGCTTTGTCAAACACAAACTTTGTTCAGACAGTCAGATTAGGGTCACGAATGGGCAAAAGGTCAGACCTGCACCACTTTTACCAGCAGTCTGAACTCAAATAAACAACTAACCGTAAATAACAGAAACACAAAATATGTTGTAAAACAAAGAAAGGTTCAGTAAGTGAACATTAAAAACTCAGCACAAAAAAGAGAAGACTACCTCCACCCAGACCATACTGGCTCTGCTGACTGTAGCTCGGTGGAGGAGGAGAGTTGAAGCCTGGTGGGTGGTTGTAGGGACCTCCTGCATGTTGAGGTGGTTGGCGGCCCTCGCTTTCTCCATAACCACCAGTTGGACTTCCGTAACCACCCCCACCCCGTCCACTGCTTGGTTTGTTGTAGCCGTGGGTCTGTGAGTTCCCTTCGTAACTGCACAATTAATGACAGATGCTTTGACTGTTACTACAATCCTTAGTCACGGTGGAACCAACAAGGACGTAAAACATCGTTACATTTATGTCCAGACAACACTCACCTTTCAAGTCAGGTCACGTCAAGTCATGTTTGATATTTCAAAACAATTAAATTTATTAAAAATGTTTGCTGAAAACCCCTTCAGGAAATAAATTCTGACTAAATAAACTTTAATACTATAAATAGGTGACTTTTGATTTTGAAGAACTAACACAAAACAACTTTTCTTAGATCTGAGATTACTCTGGAGTGAGTAATACTCTCAGTCTCGGTGTGACTGACAATTTTGATGTCAGTATAGCAAAGCTGTAGTTAATACTAGAGCTTCAGATGTTCCGGATACACCCCGATCCTCATCCCAAACTACACGTCAACTTGTTCCTTTCAATAAAAATACAGCAGTTACGAAATCCTGACATCAGGTCAGTCTCATGATCACTGACATATGGTAACCAATCCTGGAGATTCAATTCAATTCAATTCAAGTTTATTTATATAGCGCCAAATCACGACAAGAGTCGTCTCAAGGCACTTCACATAATAAACATTCCAATTCAGGTCAGTTCATTAAGCCAATCAGAAATAATGTTTCCTATATAAGGAACCCAGCAAATTGCATCAAGTCACTGACGAGATCCACTCCCCAGCGTGTTTTGGTTGTTTCCCTGCTCAAAAGCCCCTGATTTTAATCAGCAGGTGATTGACAGGCTCCTGCAGAGCTTGATGAGCTAGGGTTAGGGTTAGGGTTAGAACATGATGGATATTAGACCTCCAGGACCAGGACTGGTTACCCCGACACATAACCAGACCCAAGAATAGAACCCGAAAGTTGAAGCCAAAGCAAAAGAAGTCTCCCTTCCTAGGATAAGCTTTAAGCCACGCCCCCTTAATGTAAGCAAATGAAACACTTTCCTTGTAAAACATAAGATACTTCCCCTCAAATATTTTAGGAGATCAGTAACTGAATCAGGCGTGTTAGATGATTGATACCTTTTCAAATAGATAACCTTTAGTTATGTGATGCTTAACAAACTTCCATGATTGTGTGCACGGACGGGTCTGGTTCCAAAAATACAACACACCTGTAAACGGGAAATCCTGGCTTCGCTTTTCAACTACCTTAGAAGGTGAAGAAGCCTGGTCTAGTTATTTATGTCCTCTCGCTGTTTAGGCTCAGACTGTAACCTGAAACTATCTGAAATAATTCTACTAATTATATTTTCAAAAACAAATAAACAAAATGAAATGAATCAAAACTATGAGGCTGTTTGCAAACTTTACTCATCTACATCCTTTTGTCTCCTGCTGCAGCTCAGAGCAGCAGACAGAGGGAATGAGATGTTGTGGCATCTCACCTTGCTGAGGATGGAGGAGGCGGCTGCTGGCTGTAACCGGAGAAAGAGGACTGCTGGTTGTAGTTCATGTTGGACGGCTGACGGCTGTATCCTCCAGAGCCGAATGGCTGGCTGGAATTAACCCCTCCACCACCCTGGCTCGAAGGTGGAGAACCATATTCATCTGAGAAAAAGAAGGAAACAATAGTTAAAGCAGAAATCTTAAGGTGGTGTTTGTGAATGTTTTATGAATCTTATTCTACCTGAAGGAGAATGGCAGTAGCCCCCATAGCCCCCCTGGTTGTAGGAGCTGGAGCTGCTGTCAGAGCTCTGAGTGAAGCCTTCATAGCCCTGCTCCTGGCTGTAACCCTGACCAGATGATGGAGCGTAGCTCTGATTAGCACCATCCCCTCCACCTCCAGCACCGTAGGACCCATAACTGCACCAATTAACCAAATTGTTAAAATCCCACACAGAAACGTAACAGTTTGCACTTTTTCATTTATTCTTCAGAATCAGAACATCCTCAGTGACACAACAACATCCCTCCGATTTCTTTTTGGGACATGCAATAACCCCACGAGTCTGAATAAATCCATTCTCACTTTGTAAAAATATCTAAGTTCATTTGTTTGATGAAGAGTTTTGTACTTTTGAAGCAAGTCATTAACAGCAGTAAATGAGTGTCTGTGCGGTAAGAACGAAATAAAGTGCAACACTTTTCCAAAAAAAAAAAGGTTAGTTCATGAGTGAGACTGAAAAAATTAAATATTTGACTGTTTGTGAGAAAAAAATAAAGAAAATGCTGAAGTTGACCGAATTCAGAACCCAAATTAAGACCGGGCACAACTATTGGATAAATGAAGATAATTATGTGAGTAAATGACTTACCCGTGGGGAGGTGACTGGGAATAATCTGCAGGAAAACAGAGCAGAGTTTTAAAATGGAACAAAGGTGATTTGATTTAACCAAACTTTGACGTTTTTATGTTGAAGAAACCCAACTTTGCAATAAATCTAGAAATAAAAAGTAAATTTGAGACATCAGTCAATTACATTGTAATAAAAATATTAGAGCAGTGAGATACATGCTGGATGTTTATTTATGCTAATCTAATGGTTTGTTGCCAGGAATAACATACTTATTAAGGTAACGCGACTCAGGGTTGTGAATGACCACAGTCACCAATTCTTGTCATGTGTCTATGTCCATGTATGTCTGATCCATGAAACTCTAATTTCCCTCTGGGATTAATAAAGTATCTTTGATTTGATTATGTTTTCATGGCTTTTTATCCATCTGAACCAACTCAGATTTGTTCAAATAATCATTTTCCGCTATAGAAATGATATTTTCTTCTTTCTTCTTCTTCTTTTCATATTTTTTGACATATTTAATTTAGCATGTTTTAATTTTTCTTTTGCATGTTAAGACAGGTTAAACATGTATTAATCCATTTTAACCACTTGATTTTTGGAGCAGAGAATTATGGGATGCCATTTGCAAAGTCAAACAGTCATAACTTAACAGCAATATTTTGGGTTATTTAGTCTATCATAGGAGAATAAAAATGGGAGTTATTTTTTCTAAGTCATATTTTCAACATGTTATTCATACATTTATAAATGTTAAAATCCCAACTAAACATTTAGTTAACAAGCTAAATTTTTAATTAATACTTAAATAATTAGTTGATTAACTAAATATTTGGTTTGTAGAATAAATATTTATTTAGAGGAAAATACTTATTTTACAAAATAAATATTAAGGTCGGACAAAAATATTTAGTTTAAAACCAGATATTTAGCTCCAAACTAAATCTTTTCCTAAATAATTATTTAGATCCCATAATATTTCTTATGGGGCTATACCTAAGGGATTTTGCAAACTAAATGTTTAGCTCCCAAATAAATATTTAGCTGGGATCTAAATATTTATTTTGGAAAATAAATAAGTTTGAGCCATATATTTATTTGGGAAAATAAATATATGATTTGGAGCTAAATGTTTAGTTTGTAAACCAAATATTTAGCTCCAAATTTAATATTTAGTAAGTAAATTAAAATGTCACTTACAAACAAAATCTTTAGTTCAGACAGGTGTTTGAAAAACACATAAATAATAAAAACAAACACACCAAATTAATATTTAGCTTACTAACTAAATACTTATTTGGGAACTTTAACATTTATAAATGTATGAATAACAAGGTGAATATCTGATTTTGAAAATTAACTCCCCACTTTTTCTCTCATGATTCGCTAAATAACCTAAAATACTGCTTTTATATTAGGACTCTTTACAGCTGGCACCCCATAGAGAATGAAGATTTTTATGGAAGTAAAAGCAGGAGACCTATTTGCATCCTTTTATCCGTTCGGATCCTAATCTGGGTCAGAATAACGCAGATGAGCCGATTAGCAAACAACAAGCAAGCTACACTAGTTTTATTTACCACCTTTAGCATACTATTTACCATTAATGCAACATCTTAAAACGGGACAAACGAAGCTGTAAGATTTCAATAAATTGAACTAATCGATGAAAACACAACGGCTCGTCTTTATTTTTACACCTCGTATCAGCAGCTAACTGAAAGCCGTCCTACCGGTGTATGCTAGCGGACATTAGCCGTGTTTCTTACCGTTGGAGGCCATATAGGTCAAGCTTAAATGGAGCTTAAAAAAGCTTTAAAAGCTTGTTGCCACTAATATAAAGGTGGACGATAAAGATATTTTTTCAGCACACCGGAGACCGGACAGGTGCTGCTGTAACGGAACACCGGGTGAGTCCTACAGCGAGTCGCCGCTCATCGCTGTAAAGCCTTTACTTGCCGGCAGAGGGCGCAAGGCGCTCGAAACGAATGTGACTGCATTTGTTCATAAATAAAAAAAAAGATAAAAATGTTCATGCAGAATCAGACTTTTTTTTTACTTTGCGTATCACCTTGTTGATGATCCCTGTTTTCTGTCAGTCTAACCGTGTTAAGTCTGGCATTTCTAATAGATTTAACCAAATAAATCAGAACAAATGATGTTTTTGTTACAAGCTGCCTGGTAAAAAAAGAGAAAAAAGAAGAAAGTAACACACAAACTAATTCATGAGTAAGTCTAGGTTATTCTTGTGTTGAGCTATTTTTCTTTCTGAATGATTTAGAGACAGAGAACAAGGACTGAAACTGAGAGGAAGGACAGCCAAAATTCCAACAAAACTTTGAAAGACCTTCAGAAAATCTGAGCAACTGTTTATTCAGACCAATTTAAAGTAGAAAGCAACATTTTCTCAATTCAGAGCTGAAGTTGGACAACAGAAGCAGCCAGTCACTGCAGCTCCTTTACGCGGAACAATAATCAGAGCCTTTGTCCCAGTGGGCAGCAAACCAACACAGTGGCACCACCATAACATTGCGACAGGTAGCAGATGGCTGTGATTGTTCCACTTCCTGTATAGCTTAGCTTCATATCTTTATTCTGCATGTTTCAGTGTAACATAAGCAGCAAATAAATACTCTATTAAAATATAGCGCACCAGAACTCTTCTGTTATGCTGATCCAAGTTCAAATCATAAGAACCTCAAGCAACATGGATTCTGCGCTTCTCCTCTCTTCCTTTAAACTCTGGGTCCTTGGTTTCCAAAGAAAATGCAAAATGTACTTTCAGAGAACATAACTTTGGACCACTCAGCAGCAGTCCCGTCCTTTTTGTCTTTACCCCAGGAGAGATGCTTCTGATGCGGTCTCTGTTCTAGAGTGGCTTGACACAAGGAATATGACAGCTCAAACCCATATCTTGCATAAGTCTGTGTGTGGTGGTTCTTGAAGCACCGACTCCAGCTGCAGTCCCATTTCTGAATGGGTTTTGTTTCACAATCCTCTCCAGGGTGTGGTTCTCTCTATTGCTTGCACACTTTTTCCCCACCACATCCGGTCCTTCCCTTCACCTCTATTAGTGTGCTTGGACAGAGCTCTGAACAGCCAGCCTCTTTAGCAATGACCTTTTGTGTCTTGTCCTTCCTTGTGTAGATGTCCATGGTCGTCTTGTGGACAACTGTCAAAACAGCAGTCTTCCCCATGATTGTGCAGCATACAGAACTAGACTGAGAAACCATTTAAAGGCATTTGCAGGTGTTTTGGAGTTAATTAGCTGATCAGAGGGTTGGACCAGGGATCTTCAGTACTGAAGCTTTTCACATTATTCTTGAGATACTGAATTTGGGATTTTCATTGGTTGTTAGCTATAACCAACAATAATAAATGTGACTAATCAGTCTGTGTGTAATGAATTAAATATACAAGTTTCACTTTGAATGAAGTTATTGTGATAAAATCAACTTTGTCAAGAAATTCTAATTTTATGACACCTGTACAAGGATATTGGATGAAAGTTCTTTACATGATTTTAACAGAACATTAATCAAATGTTGAGATAAAACTGCAGTTTCCTAAAATTCTCAGTTTATGCAAATCAACTTCTATACATTTTGATTTTAATTTAAAACAAACCCACTTCGGCCACCAAGATTCTCTTAAAAATCAAACTTTATTCATCGTTTCTCCAGTAATGACAAGAGTTTAAAGGCCAGAAACAGACTGAGGAAGAACAAACATAAATAATGGACAGGAAAACAAACAAGTTTCATAAAGAGACACCCCCACCCACTCGCAGTAGGGTTTATAAGCACTAACAGATCAGTTTTCACCAGCACTCATTCAGCAGGAAGTCCATCATCAGATAAAAACGTCTGATACATCCAGCCTTAAATCCAGTTTAGTTATAAAGAGCGTCCCAATAATGGAGCAAAATTCAGCACAAACAAACAAAGATAAAAATGCTTATGATCTGCCTTTCTCATGCAATAAACTGCACAAACATTTTAAAATGATGCTACAATGCTTGAAAACTGCTCAGTAGTCACAGTTTAGTAGAGGAGCGCTTACAGCACGAAAGCACAGCCGAAGTCTGAAACGGAGGGTTTTGACTTGTGATAGTCTTCATGTGGTAGCTTTATGTTCAACAGGCATGTACTCCTTTTAAATGTGACGGCTGAGGTTTAAATGTCACATGGCGAGGTGTGGAGAACTAAAACTTAACTAATGTGAAAAACAAAAGTGCAATTAGCTCAGAAATTAAAAGCCTCTTGTTTTTTTTTCTTTCTTTAAGCAACTTTCTTCCTCCTTCAGATTCCTGAATCACCTCACAAGGATTCCTCTCCCATCCAAACGCCCTCTATTCGTTCTTCTTCTCCTTTTGCTTTAGCATTTTGTTGATTTCCCTCTTGACCATGGAGGTGTACTTTGTGATGACGCCATGCTGGTTCAGGCCAGGCAGCAGCAGGAGGAAACTCACTAGGAGACAAAATGTCAGAAACCTATAGTCAAATCATGCATTTGTATAAAATTTGAACAAAATCAACTTATCCTGAAGTTCAAGTAAACGAGAGTGACAGATTTGTGGTCATCCTAAACTAGTCTGCTTCATGCCTGAGCAACAGTTTTCCTTTGACAGAACAGCTCACAGCAGCATTGCTTGTGAAGGAGAGACCCTTTAGGAGAGCAGAACTCACTTCTCTTCTTGGTTTTATAGCTCATACTTTACGTGCCTCAGCAGATGAAAATAATTGCTCCACCCAGAGGAATCTCACTTGTTTATGTACTGATCTACAGTCCTACCAGTGGGTCTGAAACAAACCTTTTTTGTTTACTTTCATGAAACCAGACTTATTTGGCATCTTTGAGTTTTAATCAATCATCGTCACAGTTTGTTCCAGTTTCTTAGTTGAATCTTTGAGAAAATAGCTCAACAGAAGAGTTGCAACAAGGTCATTCCTAAAGAGCGGATAGCTCAAGTCTACAATCAAATTAAACATCTATGGTCCTGCTGCAGAACTGATCTGTTCCAGTTTCTTAGGACACAAACTTAAAACTACTGATCATATGGTTACGTCTCAAAACAAAACTAAATCTGCTTTAGATCCGGGTCACAGTAGCAGGACGTTTGTTAATAAGATGCAGAGCAGCAGACAGGAAACATCGCATTATTTTGATTGTGCTTCTACTTTTAGAAACTCAGACTGAGATCACTTCAGGGTTGTGACATTTGCTGCTGTTGAAAACCTACCATGTTTGTGCAAAGTTCAGCAGCAACCAGAACCCATCTGAAACCACACTGATGTGGCCAGAACAAGAGGAAAAAGGTCCCGTAGCGGTCAATTACCAACACTCACCAATCAGGTAGGTGAGGAAGAGGTTGTGGACCTGCTGGCCGATCCAGGCCATCGCCAGCAAGCTGCTGATCACAGAGGCAAAATACTGCAGGGAGCAGAGACACAAATAAACTGAAAACATTTTCTTCGTTTGCAGATCTTTTATAGTTCACCTTGCTAGAGCAGCTTGTAAAGTGTGAAAAAGTTCCAACAGCTTGTGACCCAGTTTGAGCTGTGCTAAGTGGAGCAGCTAAGCCAAGTCAGCTGATATTTTTATCAGCAGCCCAGAAAAACCTCCCCATTGTAACAGCCAGAGAGGATCCATCAGCTGCATGACACAGCCAGAGAAAACAGAGTCTGCTTTTTGGGTTTGTTGTGGTTACAGATTTGTTTTATTTACCACTTTAGGCTTCTCCTCCTTGAGGGTGCAGAGACGTTTCCACCAGCCAACGACCCGACGCTGAGTCTTCACCAGGTTTCCACAGATCTCATGGAAACGCTGCTGCTGCTCAGTGGTCCTGAACATAAACAGAAGTCAAACTAACTGCTTAGTCATGGCTGAAGCAGAATATAAAAAAGGACTTGGGTTAGTTTCTGCAAGTCTGCTGAAACCAGCCGAGTGCAGTTTCCTCCATTTCATCACCAGCTAGAACTAGTTAAGGTGCTGTGCCAGTTTGGAGTCAGGTCAAACTTAGAAATGTATGCTACACCCAAGGTTGTCTAGGTTAATTTAAAATCTTTCTACTACAAAATCCTGAAAAGGATTTCTAGGTTACAAGTTCAGTTTTATCATTTTTGAAACTAAATGTTCAGGAGAAAAGGGCTCAACTAGAGGGGGGGGGGGGGGTGGGGGAGGTTGGGGGGGATCTGACAGTGACCTTCATTTTTTGCTTAGCCATTGCTGCCTATTTTAGGGAGCGTCTTGAGGAAGCCCAGTGGGACCGGGACAAGTGATGGGTCGTTTACCCGACCCCCCCCCCCCCCCCCAGACACCTCAGCTTTCAGCCCATCTCCACTGCAGGTTGGGTGCGTAAGCTGCAGCTTAAGCTCAAAGAGTATTTGTCAAACCCTATAAATCAAATCTCACCTGAGCTGCACCTGAAACACAAAGGACCCAGCTATGCATGTGTACACATCCCAGCTAAATGTTCCCTTCATTTACCAAACGTTCTCACGTTTAGTCAGAGTTGCAGTGCGACTCCTTCAACAGGCTGAGCTAGCTGCTGCCGGTGGAAGAATGTGCAGCAGTGCAGGGCATGCCCTGCTGATACCAGGTTATATGTCGACTTTAGGAGAAGGAATGTCCTTCATACTGGGCCAACAGCAGACCGGTTACTCTATCCTCTCTAGGTGTCTGGTTATAAACATTAACGCACTCACACAGATATGCGACTATATCCACACAAGGAGGACAAAATACAGGCTTCTGCTTTAGGACCTGTGCTCCAATGTAAACCCTTTACAACTCATCACTGGAAACCCAGAAACACATTTTTGTAAGAAAATAAAAATTTTAAGAAAATGAGACAGAGCTTTACTTTAAACCCCAAAACAAGGAAACTTTTAGATAATACAGCTAAGTTTTTTCCTTCAAGCTCTTACCACTTATTAGAGCCAAACACTCTGGGGGCAAGGGTGGGTACAAGATAGTCAGCCAGGCAGAGCAGCATGACAGTGCAGGAGAGTCCAGTCAGCACAGAGGGGTCCAGATAATAAACCAGCCTGAAACAGGTAAACAGAACAGAGTCAACAAAAAAGGCACGCGTTATTCTGAAAGACTAATTTTGTCATAACTCTGCAGTTACTGATGAAAGGCGTTTGCATTAAAAACAGAAAACATGGGGGCTCTGCTTTGGATTCAGTAAAACAAAGAATCATAACAGAAGCCAATTCAAATGCTAATCGGCAACAGCCTACATCGTTCAGTTTTTCCACAATTGGGCTTTTGTTTCAATCAGATTTCAAAGGTTTAGCAAACCTTTGAAATCTGATTATTGAACCTTCAGATCTGTAAAACCATCAAGTTTGAAGGACATGCATTACCTTGCAAAAACACAAATGGACAAGTCTTCCTTAAGATGTTCATAACTTTAATGTTTCAGTGCAAATGAGAAACCACAGCTCACTAAAGACGTTGTGTGGTATAACAAGATGTTTAGCTTTAGACAATTAGAGAAAGGAGAAAACAAGAGATTGTAAAATAAGAATATCCCATCTAGGGATGGGTACCTTTGACATTTGAATCGATACCGGTACTTAACGGTACCAATTTGATACTTTTGAGTGTTTATTATTTTAATTCTCTTTTATAATTAAATATATATTTTTCTCAATATATAACAATATTTGATAAATAACATACAACTGTTTGTATTTTAACATCGCCCTTGTAGTTTTATAAGCTGATAATTAAACTGAAGCAAACATCTTTACTGTGAACTAAATTTACTGTGTATCTTCATTTTTGCCATCTTTTTTCATTTGATTTTTCCTACTGGGAAGTTAGAATTTCCGAGGAGAACGCGAACGCACCATTAGCTGATAACAATGGTAGCAATGGAAGCTAACATATCAAGCTAACGATATCTTAAACAGTTTATTTAGCTGCTGGAGCAGATTAAAACGATGTCTCACACTTAAATCGTCACTGGTTTCGTCTTCACCCGTCACATTTAGTAAAGTGAAGCCAAACTTTAGAGCGGGTTCATGTTGTTCTAGTCGGAAATTCGGAGTTCCGAGGAGAAAGCGAACGCACCATTAGCGAAACGGAAGCTAACATATCAAGCTAATTATATTTACCTACCGGAGCAGATTAAGATGAGGATGTCTCACTTAGATCATTGTCGCTGGTTTCATCATCCAGTTACCCATCACATTTAGTGAAGTGGACCCAAGCTTTAGCGTGCGTTCTCTCTACCATGCTGCTCTGTTTACAACTGGTTCACAGCAAGCGACGACATAACGCTCTTGCGCATGCGCAGCTGTCTAGGCAAGTTCTCGTTATGAAGGACGGGTACCGAAACGAGGCACCGTTTGAAATGACGTGAATCGGTGCTCGGTCGGTACTATGGAATTCGGTCGGTACCTTAAAAAGTACCGAATTCGGTACCCATCCCTAAAAAACATCTCATGCTTCATGTTCCCAATGCTAGCTTAAGGAAATGTATTCAGAGTCCCTAAAACAGCTTTGAATACATCTGTTGAGCAAATGTACATATTTAGCTTAAAATTACTAAAAAGGCTAGGGATGCACCGATCAGGTTTTTTGCTGCCGATCACCGATACCGATCACGTGGATTGGCCAGAAATTTTCTACAACATTATGAGTGCTACAAACTACATAATCTGGGAATAAAGGAAATGCAATCTAATCTAAAATGGTCTGTATTAAGGTTGTCACGGTGTGAAAATTTAACCTCACGGTTATTGTGACCAAAATTACCACGGTTTTCTGTATTATCGCGGTATTTTTTTTAAATGTGCTACATTTTCACACAAGTAAACCCTGTATGTCAGGAAATATTGTCCTCAGTTTGTGTCTAAATTTAGCCTAAAATGTGTTATTTTGTAATTATGTTGTTTATTTGTTTACATTTTTTCCCTTTAGTCTTTAAAATACCAATATTTGCCCATAACTTCTTATTTTATGTCTGTTTGATGTCATCATTTTAAAAATATTAGATCAGATGATACTCAGTACTCAAGTAGCCTTCTAATCAGATACTTTTTTACCCTTACTTGAGTAATAAACCCTATATCAGGAAAATATTGTCCTCGGTTTGTGTCCTTCCAGTGAGCTTTGCAGATGTGGGAAAATGTCAGGCAGTAATCATTGTTAAATTCATAATTATCCTCAGAGAGAGACCAACACTTATCTGCCCCTGGGAGCCCCGTAATGCATAGCGTCATTTCAACATGGGGGTGTCCGTGACACGGTTTATATGCAGGTAGCGGCGCTGCGGCTGCTTTATATAGCGACTCGTTGCATTCTCCCTCAACCCAAATCCTCGGATCACGCATTTTAGCTAAAACGCTAACGTTAGCTTGCCTTGCGTTGACTGTAGAGTTGTGGGTGATGGTCACGCAGATGTGTCATGAGATTTGAAGCGTTGCTGCCTTTCACAGACACTTTTTCTGCACGTGCTGCAAACAGGATAGCCGTCTTCTATCAGCTGTCCCTCGGCATTCTTCAAATATCCAAAAGATGCCCGTACTTCCCACTTTGTCTTTGAGGGATAAAAAATGTCCTCCTGAGCACTGCCGTCTCCTCCTTTGGCCATTATTTCAGCTTTAGCTTCAAGAAAGTTTTGGTTGTAAACAACAAAGTGCGCATGTGCCGCCGGAAACTTCAGCAGATGATGCGGTGGCTGGTAAGGGTCACCGCGCCTACACCGCAGCCACGGTAAACCCACCGAGATAATATAGTTGTTTTTTTTAAAAACAAGACGGTTATAACTTTTTACCGGGGTTTATACACACCAGTTACCGTGACAACCCTACCTGATCAGTCTGCTTTGATCTATTTTGAAAACTCCGATCAAAACCATTAGGGGCGCTATCGACCTTTTGGGATCAAATGCCGATCCAATCGGTGCATCCCTAAAAAGGCATCAAAAACTCAGCAAGGGTATAACTTCGGTTTTCAATCTACAAATGTAAAAATATATTAGAGCACCTTCTTGGAGACTAGAGTTATCCAGTTATCCAGAAAATATCATTTCTATCGCGCCTCTCAAGATAAAAATCACGAGGTGCTTCACAAAAACAAAAAAATGTAAAAATATAAAAAAGCATTTAGAAAATGTTTAAAAATATATTTAAAATGAGCAAAAATAGGCAATTAGGATTTAAAAGAAAAAATGTTAAGACAGTGAACAGGAAAGAGGGAAATCAGTGGATCCTGAGGAAGGTGGAATAGGTGGGGAGAGCAGAATAAAGAGAGAGTGGTGAAGAAGTTCATACAAAAACCAGCTTGAACAAGTGAGTCTTCAGCTGCTTTTTTAAAGGAGATCACTGAGTCCACTGATCTCAGGCTCAGGGGGAGAGTTCCAGAGTCTGGGGGCCACAGCAGCAAATGATCTGTCACCTTTGGTCTTTAGCCTGGTGCTGCACAACCAGTAGGCTTTGGTCACTGGACCCCAGGGACCTGCTGGGGGTGTAGGGACTAAGAAGATCACCAATGCATTAGGGATGCACCGATATGATACCGATACTTGGATCCGAGTACTCGCCGGTGTCGATTACCGAGACTTCCACCACACAAAAAAATGCAATGATTTGGAATACAGATTTTATTTTCTTCTCTGCTTTCAACAGGAAAAGACTGAGGTAGATAAAAGTAAAATATATGAATGGAAATCATCACAAAACTAAAATATTAGGTGAACAGAAATGACAAGTTACAGTGAAGCCATTTTCAAGCAAATGCATTGGTATCGGTTAACATTTACCGATACCGATACTGGTATTGGTATCGGCACAGATACCAATACCAGTATCAGTGCATCCCTACAATGTAAGATGGTGCTTGACCATGTAAGGCCCTGTAGACCAGATCCAGGATCTTGAAATAAACCCTGAAGTTGACTGGCAGCCAGTGAAGCTGGAGAAGAAGCGGGGTGATGTGGGTGTATTTGGAGGACTTGGTCAGAAGCCGAGCACAGGCATTCTGAACCACCTGTAGACGGTTCAGGGAGGTTCTGCTCAGACACGTGAAAAGAGAGTTACAGTAGTCTAAGCGTGAGGAGATGAAGGTGTGGAGAACTGTCTCAAGTTCAGAGCGAGACAGAATGGGACTCAGCTTAGCAACGTTCCTGAGATGGAAGAAGGAAGAGCGAACAAGAGAACTGACATGAGAATCCAGGGTGAGAGCTGGGTCAAAGGTCACGCCAAGATTCCTGACAGAAGGTTTGGTGTGAGAAGCAAGCTGACCAAGAAAGTATCTGACTTTGGGAACCAGCTTGTCTGGGGAACAGATGAGGAAGACTCCAATTCCTGCCGTCTGAAGCTACTTTCTCCTCCAGGTGACATTTGTCATGTCCAAATGCTTGCAATTTAAGTGAAAGTGAAGGGGGGGGGGGGAGTAGCAACTGCTGCAACCGGCATCCAGGCGTGCGATCAACGACTCAATGCTCACTGCCCCAATTCGGCTGTTATTTGTAAACACACTTCAAGCCTTACTTCCTCCAAGTGCACTTCACTGAGGACCATCTGGGGCAGTGCAAGTACTGGGACATGGCCTTCTACATCCTCAAACAGGCACACCAGAGCTCCCCGCCCCACCCCCCACGTACTGATCTTTTATTATATATACACTTCATACATGTTGAAGAAAATGTGTGCGTAGAAAGAGAAAACTGACTCACAGGAAGACCACTGTGACAGCGCCCATCAAGGCTCCAGGAAACCATGGCTTCTCCCAGCGCATTACCCGATCCCCAGCCAGGATCACCTCACCCCAGCCCTGCAGCTGTTCCTCTAGTTGGGCTGTTTCCTGAGCCTGGAGGCAAAATTCAAAAAACTTTTTAAACAAGGAACTACACATCAGGTCAACCCAGTGCGAGTCAGTCACATGCAGAGCAGTTCAGATCAGGAATTTTTGTAAATTAAATTTTAAAAATTATATTTTGTCATTAGTTGTTTAAAAAACACAGGAAATAAACAGTTTTACAAAATTGACAAAAAATAATTTGAATAATTTCTGACCTTAAAAATTTTTGAAAGGCAAATTGAAAAAGGGTGATGTCACATGCTTTTGTTTGGAAGGCTTATGACCGTTTAAAATTAATAACTTCTTTGTGTGCATGTTCTCTAGGGCGTGCGAGCCTTTTGCAGCAACCTACACCATGACGGAGCAGATAACCAAATATAACCTGCTGCGTGTACAGAAAACTAATTTATCTGATCATAAGTCTTTAGGCTGAAACGTATTGTCAGACTGCATCATGCATCGGTATCAAGTCGCCAATTCAAGAGGAAGTATGAGTACCAAGAATAAACCCACCGAGCTAGCCATCATTAGCTGCGGTAAAGCAGCGGTTGCCATCGTGGTCGATGCCTACCCGAGTGCTTAAAGCTGAATGCTTATGCAAGTTTCACGCCGAGTGATTTTGTAACCATTTGAACAGATAGCACAAACATACATGTAAGCTAGACTCACATAGCTCCTTCAGATTAGCAGCACGGGCTCGTGCTAACAGAGGGCTAACACGCCCATGTCCGACACGAACATTTAACATCTTAAAGAGGCTTGATACTCACAAACTGATTGACACTTTTATTGTCGCCTTCGGCCATGTTTACTGATATATTCAGCTGTGCTCCAGTGGCAAAGTTTCTTTACTTGAAGAAGCAACCCCACAAGCCGAGGAAGATTTCAACACTGTCCACCTGCTGCCGCTGCTTTTAACGCCTCTAACGGTCGAAATGACGCAAGGTGACTTTTATCTCAAAATCTGCGTCAAATGTCCCAAGTGCACTCTGGGAAATGAAGTTTTAGTTCTGAAAACGTCAAGAGCTGACTTAGCACTAAAAAAAAGATGTATGTTCTTGCAATCTTTTAAAGTGGTTTCTGGAAATCTTTTATGTATTTCTAAAGACTATGACAGCATGTGTAAACAGTTTACCTGTGTTTGGTCTCTAGGAAATTTAGCAAAGAGCATCCGCCAATCACAAAAGCCCACAAATGTAAGGCTGGATTAGTAATTTAGATGTGGTGCTATAAACGTATATAAACGTGCTTGTTTTGTTAATTTCGTGCAATTCGTTCGCGTTTTGGTTTTTGTCCAGAAACTTTCAAACACACGTTCAGCGTCCGTACACTGCGCTAACGTGCGTATGACGTCATTCAGAAGTCTCATCTTGTGGAAGCCAAAGCATTTAGCTGGTCGCTAACGGAGCTAGCAGTCTTTCTTTATCGTTTACGCTTTTAACGACGCTGGTGTTAGGAGCTTCACATTTATTGCGTGATTCTGCGGGACATTCATAAACGCCACCTTTCTTTCCACACCGCTCTTCTTTCTCGTCTGGAGAAAGCAGTCGGTAAGTAATTTATACGTTCGCTAGCTTAGGTGTGAACACTAGTTCGGTTTGACGTGTTTGGGCCTTCTAAAAAATGTCAATTCATGGATGGTGAACGGTGATTTACAAAGATAGTTACGCAAGTTAAATGTTATCAGTGCTATATTATACCTGTTAGTATCCAGAATGTTTGACTTGTTTCGTGTATTTTACCGTTATCCGTTATATATGGCGTTCCTACAGGCCTGTATGGCGCACGTGCTAATGCGCAACAAAATCGATGTCTAAATATGAAACATAATTAAGTGTTATGGTCTGTGTTTAAGTTAGTCAAGAGATATATGATTCGACACATGGACTAATCAGAAGGAAAAACAAGTCACAAAATGTCCCTGAGTAGCTGTCGTTGGCAAAAACAACCTAGGTTATTTTATTGTTTGGTGAGTTTTTCAGTCCAAGTGTTTTAGTTACTCAGTAAAACCAGACACTAACACCATCTCGGGCATATTTGCCAAAGCATAAATCTAGAGCCACTCCTCAATGTTTACAGTATGACCGAGGAGTCCTTTTAATGTTCTGTGTTCTTGTTTATTAGATCTCCAGACTTGTTGGAGGCCTTTCGTTTTAGCAGCTATTTTCCCAGTATCAAAGCCGTTTCAGAGGACAAAAGTATAATAAATATGAACAAAAACCTGTTAAACTTTACCAAACATGCAAACTGATAAGTTACACTTTGTGTAACAGCAACATCTAGGAAAATCAATGTTCCTAAAAATATGTTAAATAGGCTTGTTTTAATTGGGCATGCAAACACACTGATAACATTTTCGCATTGTTTTGATTTTTTATTTTCAGTGTAATATGTTCATATCTGTTCATCGGTTGTCTCATATTTGGTTTTGCAGAGCCATGTACAATGGGATTGGCCTGACGACTCCACGAGGCAGCGGCACCAATGGTTACGTACAACGCAACCTGTCGAGCCTGCGTGTCAAGCGGCCACGGGATGAGCGTGGAGGTGAGCGAGATGAGAAGGACCGTGAAAGGTTGGAGAGTCAGCTCAACAGACAGCCAAATGCTGATATCCTGGAGCACCAACGCAAGAGGCAGCTGGAGGTCAAGTGTGCCGAGCTGCAGGACATGATGGAGGAGCAAGGGTAAAGAATTATTTGATTAAGAAGTATTTACATTAAGCTGACTTACTTAATTATTTTGGGGTATCCAACATATTCTATTACAGTGTACTAAACAAAGGATAAAAGGAAAACCCTGTTTTGGAGTTTTTATTTATTTATTTATTTATTTTTTATTTGACAGTTGCTTAAGATGGCAATACTTATCACATGTCATCTAACTGTTTTCTGTGACGTGCATATTTTTATGTTATTGAACTTTCAGATATTCTGCTGAGGAGATCGAGGAGAAGGTGAACAGTTTCCGCATGATGCTGCAGGAGAAGCAGGAGCCACCTCCCACTTCTGCTCAGAAAGCTGTGTACGTAGTTATTAGGGATGGGCGTTATGCCCTAAAATCTATATTGCTATATATTTTGAAGCTTGTGCAGTAAGACATATAACTTGGTATATACTTCTCTTCTGATTAGGGATGGGTACCTGTCACATTTGAATCTATTTGGTACCTATTCCTGGCACCTAGGAATCAATAATGGTACTTAACGGTACCAATTTGATACTTTTGAGTGTTCGATAATTAATTAAATATATATTTTCTTCTCTCTATCTCTATCTATTTATATCCATATATATATATATATACACATATATATGTGTGTATATATATACACATATATATGTGTGTGTATATATATATACACATATACAGGTGCTGGCCAGTAAATTAGAATATCATCAAAAGGTTGAAAATATTTCAGTAATTCCATTCAAAACGTGAAACTTGTACATTATATTCATGCAATGCACACAGACCAATGTATTTCCAATGTTCATTACATTTAAATTTGATATTCATAAGTGACAACTAATGAAAACTCCAAATTTGGTATCTCAAAAAATTAGAATATTCTGAAAAGGCTGAATATAGAAGACACCTGCTGCCACTCTAATCAGCTGATTTACTCAAAACACCTGCAAAGGCCTTTAAAAGGTCCCTCAGTCTTGTTTTGAAGGCACCACAATCATGGGGAAGACTTCTGACTTAACAGCTGTCCAAAAGACAATCATTGACACCTTGCACAAGGAGGGCAATACACAAAAGGTGATTGCTAAAGAAGCTGGCTGTTCGCAGAGCTCTGTGTCCAAGCACATTAACAGACAGGCGAAGGGACGGAAAAAATGTGGTAGAAAAAAGTGTACAAGCTCTAGGGATAACCGCACCCTGCAGAGAATTGTGACGACAAACCCATTCAAAAATGTGGGGGAGATCCACAAAGAGTGGACTGCAGCTGGAGTCAGCGCTTCAAGAACCACCACGAGGAGACTCATGAAAGACATGGGATTCAGGTGTCGCATTCCGTGTGTCAAGCCACTCTTGAACAAGAAACAGCGCAAGAAGCGTCTCTCCTGGGCCAAGGACAAAAAGGACTGGACTGATGCTGAGTGGTCCAAAGTTATGTTTTCTGATGAAAGCAAGTTCTGCATTTCCTTTGGAAATCAAGGACCCAGAGTCTGGAGGAAGAGCGGAGAAGCACAGAATCCACGTTGCATGAGGTCCAGTGTAAAGTTTCCACCGTCAGTGATGGTGTGGGGTGCCATGTCATCTGCCGGTGTTGGCCCACTCTGTTTCCTGAGGTCCAGGGTCAATGCAGCCGTCTACCAGGAAGTTTTAGAGCACTTCATGCTTCCTGCTGCTGACCAACTTTATGGGGATGCAGACTTCACCTTTCAACAGGACTTGGCACCTGCACACAGTGCCAAAACCACCAGCACCTGGTTCAAGGACCATGGTATCCCTGTCCTTGATTGGCCAGCAAACTCGCCTGACCTTAACCCCATAGAAAATCTATGGGGTATTGTGAAGCGGAGGAAGCAATACGCTAGACCCAACAATGCAGAGGAGCTGAAGACGACTATCAGAGCAACCTGGGCTCTCATAACACCTGAGCAGTGCCACAGACTGATCGAGTCCATGCCACGCCGCATTACTGCAGTTATTGAGGCAAAAGGAGCCCCGACTAAGTATTGAGTGCTATACATGCACATTCTTTTCATGTTCATTCTTTTCAGTTGGCCAACATTAGAGAAACAAACATTTTTTCATTGGCCTTTAGAATATTCTAATTTTCTGAGATACCAGATTTGATGTTTTCATTGGTTGTCACCTATAAATATCAAAATTAAACGTAATAAACATTGGAAATACATTGGTCTGTGTGCATTGCATGAATATAATGTACAAGTTTCACGTTTTGAATGGAATTACTGAAATATTTTCAACCTTTTGATGATATTCTAATTTACTGGCCAGCACCTGTATATGTGTATATATATATATATATATATATATATATATATATATATATATATATATATTAGGGCTGGGCGATATGGCAAAAATAGAATATCACGATTTTTCCAATATTTTATCACGATTTCGATTTTATCACGATTTTTTTTATCCATGAATAGCATAACTTCAATTGCGTATTAAAGAAGAGAAACATTGAATAAATAGACATTTATTCATATTAGGGATAATCAGCACAGTGCTAACACACTTATATTTTAAACTCACACCAGAGATGATAAAAGCCCTGAAACAATTACAAAAATCAGTTTTTCTCGTTTTTAAAGTAACTTAACATAAATTAAAATCGTAAACATATTTAAAGTGCAAACATGTCAATTGCAAACGTATTGTGCAAACATTAACTTGTTCTAAATACTATGTAGCTCCCAGGGAGCGGTAAATTACAGAGGTCCCTAAGAAACTTTACGAGTCTGATGAAACCCGCTGGTTTTCCATCAGGCAGTCACGGGGCAGCTCCATCGACCCAGTGACCGAGCTCAGTCGGTACCGACACCGGCTCGGCAGAGGGTGGACGAGCCGAGGCGGCGTCGTGCTCTGCTTAAGAAGCGGTGTTATTTTCCTGCTTCAGAAGAAGCGTCCAACGTGTTTTTACGCTTTCTCCGAGACATGTCACGTCGCTAAGTAGTTAGCTCCGCGCGCTAAGGAAACCCTGCGTTCCTCTTCGGAACGAAAACCTCGTTGTCGCTCAGCCGCGGCGAAGCCATGTTTGTTCACACAGGTGAAGGTGAAAACAAGCGGGGCACTAATATATTACTATGACTCACTCTGATTGGTTAAGGGTCAAACAAAGGCGTGTCATTCGCCTGGGGTAAGTTCCCTTTTCATTCAGAGGCAGAAATTCAACAGCAGAGCTGTGAATCGTGATAAAACGGTCTCTCAAAAATGACAGACCGTCAGATGTGTAGATCGTAAAACGGTCTAAAATCGTCATATCGCCCAGCCCTAATATATATACACAATCATATTTGATAAATATCATGATAAAGAACGTACAACTGTTTGTATTTTATCAGCGTAGTGTTGTACAAAATTCTTTGAACAGGAGAACCTTTAACCACAACTTTCTAAATGCTGTAGTTATGAAAACCCCGCTCCATGTACACCCATTCCTCTACTTTCACCACTGGAATAACTCTGATGAAGAGACCGTGTGTTATAAATTACAAACGAAACTAAAACAAATAGGGCTGCAGCTATTGAATATTTTTGTAATCGAGTACTCTAATAAATTACCCTTTTGCGTTTGTAAACCATTATATCAAACAGCATGTTATAAAATATGAAATACCTCTTAAAATGAGCAATTGCCAGTTATTCCTCAAGTTTTATTCAAAATTAGTTTTCAAAACTTCAGCACTTCAACTTTACTTCACAGTAAACAAATGCGAGCGACTGCGGCCCAAACAGCACCAGAACCGCTCACGGCGCATGCGCAAACATGGCTCGCCAGCTATTTCCCTATTAACACACGTCCGTTTTAATTTCTACACTTTTTTTTTCCTCACACTAACAAGGATTGTCGAAAGCATGTTTGCTGTGGTTATGTCAAGTTATACTGATCACAAAACATTTATTTACTTTCGTTTTCCTCCGTCACTCAAATACCCGTGTCCTCCTTCAGCAATCCTGAGGGACAACGGACATCAGTAACAACACAGTAAAAAGTCTGACGTGTTGTAAAAACGGCTATTTTTAGCACATTTTAAGACCGACGTGTTGCTACCAGACGTACGGTGTGAACTGAAACCAAGTGCTACAAATGAAAAATTCGCACAGTGTCTACAGAACATATAGAAATACAGGCTAAAATGCATTATCTTGTAGAGGCTCAGAGTCCGCTTGCAGAAGAGACATTTACATGTGGATGTTTCCTGGTCCGGTGCTGCAGCATGGAGGATGTGGTGTTGTGGTAGGCTAAATCCATTTTACAGTTTTTAATCTGGGCTACGTTTTCCGCCTTACGACGTGAAAAAGGGTCCCACACCTTTGACATTTTGTGTCTTTTTCACACTCCACCGGGGTCCACATTGTCCGCCATGGCTTAAGAGAAAGTTAAGTTTTATTTTTTGTTTTTTGAGAAAGTTAAGTTACATTCGCTACTCGCGAGTGCATTCAGTGCAGTGTGTATGTGCGTCACTTATTTCGGTCCAGGTGAAACAAGAGCCCGGGTGATTGCAAAGCCATGAATTAAACATGAATAAACGAAGCCTCGAGGCAGAGAATTTGACTCGAGGATTTTTTGTACTCGAATTATTCGAGGTACTCGAGGAATCGTTTCAGCCCTAAAAACAAATGGTAAACTGTTTGTATTTTAATATTGTGGTGTTTCACAATCTCAAACCTAGCTCCATGTACTCCTCTCCTTTCACCTCTGGACAAATTGTGTGATGGTGGGTCCTTGTAGTTTTATAAACTGCAAATTAAACTGAAGCCTACATCTTTGCTGTGAGCTAAATGTACTTGTGTATCTTCATTCCTTTTACCATTCCTTTTCAAACAGTCGGAATTTTTGAGTTCTGAGGAGGAAGCTAAAGTATAAAGTTAACATTATCTTAAACATTTACCTGCTGGAGCAGATTAAGACCATGATGCCTCGCTTTCATCGTTCTCGATGTTGTCATCATCACCCAGTCGCCAATCTCATTTGGTGAAGTGGACCCAAACTTTAAAGTGCGTTCTCTCTGCTTATTTGGAAGTCTGAATTTCCGAGTACCAATGGGAGAGCAAACGCACCATTAGCTGCTAGCAACGGAAGCTCAAATATCAAGGTAACGTTATCTTAAACAGCTTATTTACCTGCTGGAGCAGATTAAGACCATGATAACTCATTTAGAATGTTGTCAAAATCGCCCAGTCAGCCATTGCATTTGGTGAAGTGGACCCAAACTGCGTCTCCTGTGAGAGTGGTGGGGGTGCATTTCGTAGGCATGGTGCTGTGCCATGGCTGAAATTGCAGGTCCACGTCTGAGTCTATGTGGGGGAAACACACTGGTGTTCATCATGTTAAGAGTGAATGGCATTTAAGGGAACTGACGAGCTATTACCATGACTTTACAGTCGCCCAGAATATTTAACTGAGGGTGTTTTTTTTGCTAGGCATCCGACTCCTTAAACTCAAACCAGCTCCATAAAACCGACGTAACCCTGTCTTATTCACAAGCACGTCTTCATCCATGTGCTCCGTGTTGCAGCAGCGCTGCTGCTTTTGCCCACATTTGACTCTTAATTGACAGCATTCACACACAATCACGATTGGACGGTGGAGTCAAAATCTTTACCGGTGGCTAAATTTATATCATATACTGGTTGTACCACGCATTACTAGTACTTATTAAAAAATGTTCATTATCTGGATTTATGTGGTCACGTTTATAAAGGTGAGAGGTGAAATATTCCTGGTGGACTTTACTATATTTTATGGCCTTCACAACTTTTTTAAATAAGTCCTTCACTGAGAACATTTTTTACTTATTTTTGAAAACGATAAGTCACTCTGAGTTTAACATGCTGGCTAAATGTGAAAACAGTCTCCTACACCTATCTCCTGCATTGGCCTCTGATAGAAAATAGACGGTGAATCTCTAGGATTTGAAAACCCTGACAGATCTACGTCACCCTGTAACATTCATGGACTCACCCGTCTTTACTGGCAATGGGTATGCTCCTCCGTCTGCGTCAGTGCAGAGACACGCAACGCCATTATCCGTCCTTGCGTAGGGCACGCAAGGACGTACGGAGTCAAGCCCACTTTTTTAAACATCCGTCGAACGAGACAGATTACGCAAGTTTGTGATTGGTCAGGATGCCGCTGTTTACAGCGCCGCCATTGCAAAGAGAGCCGAGGATAACTTGTGGCAGACACAGAGAAGCTTGAAGAATACCTCGCGAAAAAACTCTAAAAATATGAATGTTTAATTCTCCCGTGACTGGAGGAGTGAAAAGATACGCAGCAAGCGTTTTATTTGTGGACGGAAATGACAGGAAACGTGGGTTTAGAGGTGGGGAGCACATGAAGCGGTGGGAGAATGAGAGATTAATATGTTCGTGTTAAAAGTTTCTTATATACACAAAAAACACAATATAAACACACTATCTTGAACCGATACATGACAGGATACCACAGAACAACACTACGCCCTCTGTTGTCCTGCCGGGCAATTGCTTTGCAACACTCTCCAGGAGACGGAGAAGTAAAAGAGCAAAATGCTTCCGTCAATCCGTGCGTGTCTGTCCCTTGCGGAGCTGACGGAGAAGCATAAACCAGGCATAAGGCTGTTGTTGGTTTAGCATCCAGGAGAGGGCTGAGAACATCTCGACTGGTAGAAGCTAACATTAGCATTAGCAACGCCACCACATGGCAGAACTCCTTCAGGCTTTTGTTATTTGGGGAAATAAAATATCAACATTGCAGAGCAAACCGAGTCAGTGGTAGAGTTGCATTGTTGTAGGCCAATTCGAAGTGAGATGTTCAAATGTCAGAAAACTCCAGATTCTGTTTTCTGAAGCTACTCTCCCCTGGCTGAGCTCCATACTGAATCGGACGCACCAGAGCTTCTCTGAGTCATCTCATTTATCTGTGTGGGAGATGGAAAACTGATTTCTGTTCTTCTTCCAGTGTGACAGAAACGCACGCCCTGGCTGCAGCCAACCAACAGAAGAATGACCGTCTTCGTGCAGCTTTCGGCATCTCCAGCGACTATGTGGATGGATCTTCATTTCATGCTGATCGAAAGGAGAAAGAAAAGGAGAAACGAGAGCAGGAACGCTTGGAGAGAGAGAGGCAGCAGCAGCAGAAATATACGTAAGCAGGACTTTCAGAATTCAGGAACACTGTGTGAATATGGGATTTTTCATTCCAAATCGACCACTAACCCAACCTTTCCACTGGATGTCTAAGCGCCTCGTAACCTAATAGACACATTTTACCAACAAACTCCTTTACCACATGACAAAGGAAGTGTTCCACGCTGCTGGTCCTACGAGGTCACAAAATCACAGGACTCTTGCAAGATCATGTATGATTTCAGCAGTTATAGCGATGACGAGCAAGGTGAAAGGCAGAAACATGAATCCAAGAAGTTCTATTTTCCTTTCTGTTTACCTCGACTCGAGGTTTCATAAGAAATGGCATATTTCTTTTTCACTAGTTAAAGGTACTGGAAAGACTCGTTGTGGAAATTGTAGAAATTCAGTGCAACTGCACATTATCATCTATAAAGATAAACTGGGTTAAGGTTTTCATTTTGTTAAGCAATTATGAATTATAGAAAATCAAAACGTTATCTTAAGACTGAATACGTCACTCTTAAGGTGTATTTTGTTCAACTTCATGGTCTCAATGATTGCGAAACATTTTGTTTACAGCTGCAGCAAAATGTCTGAGCCATATGTCCGAGCATTTCTAGCTAACATAGCAACGTTAAAGTCATGGGAACTGTGTGTTAGGAGGATTGTAGCGAGCTGGAAGGATAACACTAGCTGCAGTCAGATCTGCTGATGCACAGACTACAGGGCTGGTCAGTGTTATTCACTCAGAGGTTGATCTAAAAAAGTAATCTGCACGTTCTAACTATAAATCCACCTGGAACTGTACCACTCCTTCTGGACTTGAGCAAAGACTGAGTCATGTTAGAAAGAAAAGAAAACAATCTTATTTAGCGCTTCTCAAGATAAAAATCACAAGGCGCTTCACAAAAACAAACAATTTTAAATGTACAAAAGATTTTTTTAATTACTTAAAAATATGTTTAGAAAAACAAAAATAAAGATTGTGATTAAAAAATGTCAAGAAAAGGGAGGAGAGAGAAAATGAATGGGAAAGAGAGAAGTCGGTGGATCCCGGGAAAAACGGAATAGGTAGAAAGGAGAGGTGATGACGAAGGTCGCGTAAAAGCCAGCCTGAACAAGTGGGTTTTCAGCTGCCGTTTGAAGGAGAACACCGAGTGGCTGCAGCACCACAGCTAACCATGTTAGCTCCAGTAAGGAAAAAAGATTGCATTTTGGAAACCTACGACACGCTCAGAGTTCAGATCTAAACCAATTTTGGTTCTGAAGATGTTCAACATGTCTGCTTTGCCATCAGAGTCCAGATCGACTTGCAGGATGTCTGAATAACAGGCTTGAAAATGTGTGGTTGAGGCTGCTCCTCTTTGGCTAACTGGCTTGTGGCTCATCCAAGTCGGACAGGCTAGTTGAACCAGCTGCATCCCTCCGGTTGTCTGATATCCATTCTCTTTGATATCCGTTCCAGAGAAGAAAAAAAAATCTGAATTACAATCAGAGGTTTCAGAAGCTACTGAAAGCTGATGAAACATTGTCATCGGCTATCATGCTAAAGCAGAAAAAGCGGAGGTCCTGATTGTGTACATTGGCTTCCTGAGGGTAAACCTAGTATTAGATAAGCAGCTCAGATTTGTCTTATGTTTTTTTCTTTACTGTTTAAAAACATCAGATTTTCTTCCCGCTGTGGAAACCAAACCTGGAATTCTGCACATGACTTTTATTTTGAAAGTTTCCTGATGTTTTACGCTGCTTTCGTATTTCTTGCTTGATCTGAACTATGGAGTTTGATGTGTTCTGGAAGCAGACACCCGGATACTTTGGGGCTAATGGTGACATCTGGGGAAGGCTGGCAGCTTATTTTCCACCAGAAAAGCGCGTTGTCTCTTTTAATAACAGGCTCCAAACACAAGGCTGCTATGTCAGCTATGGCTCGCTCCTCTGCAGTTCCGATGGGGCGTGCGTCTTCTGTTTGCCTCGTCAGTGTTTACCAGCTCTCCTTTCAAGTTTGCTTTGAACTAGGGCTGGGCGATATGGCAAAAATAGAATATCACGATTTTTCCAATATTTTATCACAATTTCGATTTTATCACGATTTTTTATCCATGAATAGCATAACTTCAATTGCGTATTAAAAAAGAGAAACATTGAATAAATAAACATTTATTCATATTAGGGATAATCAGCACAGTGCTAACACACTTATATTTTAAACTCACACCAGAGATGATAAAAGCCCTGAGAGAAACAATTACAAAAATCAGTTTTTCTCATTTTTCAAGTAACTTAACATAAATTAAAATCGTAAACATATTTAAAGTGCAAACATGTCAATTGCAAACGTATTGTGCAAACATTAACTTGTTCAAAATACTGTGTAGCTCCCAGTTGCTCATGTAGTGGATAGTTAAGCTCAAATACGGCTCTGATGTGCGGCTGGACCAGAGATCGCTTGTGGTAGCAAAAAACTGCTCATTCTGAATATTTTCTGCAACAAGTCTCTAAATGAAGTAAAAATTTCCAGTGCAGATTGGAGACAACCCATAGAAGCACTGATTTGATCTCATTTCAGAGAAAAATAGAACAGGTTAGATGCACCTAATAAATAAAATTACTAACAAACTCAGGATTCTTTCTTTGCTTCACTGTTCTGGTGCTGAGAATATCACTAATGCGGATCAAAGGAGATACACAGATGAATGCACCTCTTAATTATTATTTGGAGACTACATTTACTGCAGCTGGCAGAGGCAGAGATTGTTTCTACTGATACACGGAGTTTACAGAATCATTTTAAATGTTAATAGGGGAAGATTGCAGGAGGGAGCGGTAAATTACAGGGGGTCCCAGCAAAAACAAGAAACTACGAGTCTGATGAAACCCGCTGGTTTTCCATCAGGCAGTCACGGGGCAGCTCCAACGACCCAGTGACCGAGCTCAGTCCGGTACAGACACCGGCTCGGCAGAGGGTGGACGAGCCGAGGCGACGTCGTGCTCTGCTTAAGAAGCGGTGTTATTTTCCTGCTTCAGAAGAAGCGTCCAACGTGTTTTTACGCTTTCTCCGAGACATGTCACGTCGCTAAGTAGTTAGCTCCGCGCGCTAAGGAAACCCTGCGTTCCTCTTCGGAACGAAAACCTCGTTGTCGCTCTCTCAGCCGCGGCGAAGCCATGTTTGTTCACACACAAATGAAAACAAGCGGGACACTAATATATTACTATGACTCACTCTGATTGGTTAAGGGTCAAACAAAGGCGTGTCATTCGCCTGGGGTACGTTCCCTTTTCATTCAGAGGCAGAAATTCAACAGCAGAGCTGTGAATCGTGATAAAACGGTCTCTCAAAAATGACAGACCGTCAGATGTGTAGATCGTAAAACGGTCTAAAATCGTCATATCGCCCAGCCCTAGATCGCTTGTGGTAGCAAATAACTGCGCATTCTGAATATTTTCTGCAACTCTCACTTTTTCTTCAGCGTACATGCGTGGAATGGCGGTGTACGAAAAATACTTGCGGCTGGAAAACTCGTAGCGCGGATCCAATGTTTTATCATGTTCTTAAATCCCACTCCTGTTCGCACGGGACACAAATCTTTAACCAAGTGGTACGTCACTGCATCTGTCACGCTGTTCCATCGTCTGCTGTCTCTGTCGTAAGGAGTGAGTTTTGTGAGTGTTTCTGTTAGTGTTTGCTGCCTGGAAGAAGCGCTAGCCGCTGCAGCCGCAGGCTTTTTAGCTTTAGCTGCCAGCTGGCTCTCATTGTATTGTTTGGGGTGCCTTCTTTTCAAGTGATTAAACAAGTTTGTGGTGTTGCCATCACTTGCCTTGACGCTCTCCTTGCAAACTTTACAAATGACGTTTCGCTGCTCTTGGTCATCTGGTGAAAAACCAAACCAGTTCCATATAATGGACGAGGCGTTTCTCTTCAGAACGAAAACCTCAGTGTCGCTCTCAGCCGCGGCCGAAGCCATGTTTGTTCACACACAGGTGAAAACAAGCGGGGCACTAATATGACTATGACTCACTCTGATTGGTTAAGGGTCAAACAAAGGCGTGTCATTCGCCTGAGGTAAGTTCCCTTTTCATTCAGAGGCAGAAATTCAACAGCAGAGCTGTGAATCGTGATAAAAAGGTCTCTCAAAAATGACAGACCATCAGATGTGTAGATCGTAAAACGGTCTAAAATCGTCATATCGCCCAGCCCTACTTTGAACCAGAAATACTCCCAAACTGCAGAAGTTGTTGTTTTTATACACCAAGTCAGCTGGTGTGCGAGCTGCCATTTTTCTCTCGTCTCGTGATATCACATTCATAAACTTTACGGACAATTTCTAAAAGTTGGGACTAAACATTTTTAACTAATTAAGTAAAACTGAAAATTCTGCCATACTTCTGTTAATGCATTAATTGACTTATTTATCTTTATTTTTTTAATCCTTGTCTTCTACCTGCACTGCTTTTTTTTTCATGACTGTATTGGAATTTACACAGTTGCCATTTTTAAACACTGGCTGCATACGGTAATACGGCCCAAGCCTACCGTGCAACAGAGAGCATCTTCTTCACTAGCACCCTCCCTGCACCCGTCCCCCCTCTCTACTGTCCACTCCTTGTTCCCTCCTCTCCATGATTGATGTCAAGTTGTTGTTGTTAGCCTCAAGGGCAACATGCCGATTATCACTTGTAAGTCACTTTGGACAAAAGTGTCTGCTAAATACATAAACATAAACGGAGAGAAGTTTACTCGACAGCAACCAGAATGAAAGTGAATCACACATGCAGGAAGCCCCTGCTGGCTGATTAAAATGTCCATTCGGAGGTGGTAGGCGTGAATTTCAGCCGGCCAATCAGTCGTAATGTGCCGCTTATGTGTCCCGTGGAAAGGTCTGGTGATTCCTGTCCTAATGTTTATGGCTGGGCTTATTTTATCTTCTCAGATTGGTGGAAGATTCAGATGAGTCGGATGCTCCTCCTGAGAAGCGAAGTCGAAAGAAGAAAAAGAAAAACAAGAATAGAGACAGGTGAGAAGGTGAATCTGGTAATGATGAATAAAGTACAGACAGATAAAACGGACTTATGAGAGTTTTTGTTTTCTTTTAAAGCAGCTCAGAGAGTTCCTCTCCATCTCCACACAGAGAAAAGAAATCTAAAAAGAAGAAAAAGAAACGGTACTCTACATGTTAAATATATGTGTACATCATGTTAAATAATAGATTTTATCCTTTTAACGTTGAATTCTATCAACATAAATATTTGTTTTTCAGTGAGTCATCAGAAGAGGATGATGACAGGTAGGTGTTTGATGTTTAACGTTTTCCTTGCTTGAGTTCACTTATAACTTGATCTTCTATTAAAGTTCTTCAGATGAAGAAAAGAAGGTTTCCAAGAAGAAAAGTAAAAAGTGCGAGAGTTTGAGTCCTCCGAAAGCTAAGTCCGGTCGACCCAGAGAAGTTTCATCCAGCTCGACTCACAGGTATAAAATAAACGAAGCCGTTTCAACTTCAGGTGTGAATACATTTGAGTAGAGAATACACTGCAAACCAACTCATTGGGGACTAGTCACACATGGTCTGGTAGAAGTAGCATGATTTGTACATTTACTTTTGCTTTCTTAAAGGAAAGCAATTTTTGATCCTACTTATTTCCCTTAAACTGTTTAGTTCAAAGTTGTGGAGCTAATTTCCAAACTGCTGCTCGTTTCTCTGTTTACTTTCATACACCTGAACTCTGATTTAAAAAATTTTTAGACTTTGGCTTCCTTTAGAAGTCCATATGAAAACGCAGGAGGTGGCGTTTTCGTTACAGTGGCGGAGGTGGATTATATTTGTAATGTTCTGAACTCTGTTGGGCTGTTTTGATTGATATGCATCTTGAATATTACAAAAAGCACTGGTGCAACACCTGTGGAGTTGGTGGCCCAATTTGGTGATAACATTTCAGATCCAATTTTTTTTATCAGTGTGTGTGTGTGTGTGTGTGTGTGTGTGTGTGTGTGCGCGCTCACGCGCTCGCTCGCTCATTCTCAGTAGTTGGATATCTTGTCCCTGTTAACCTAACCCCAAAATTCCACTATCTCCGCTCCGCTGCGTCCCCGCTTTCCGCAGCCGCTCGCTTCCGAACTCAATTTTTACTGGTACCCGCTCTACAACGGCTCCGCTCCGGTGCGGAGACCTGAGGTGTGCAAAGAGGCATGCTTTTCGAGATCTTGCGATACAGTCCGAGCAATAAACGTGGAAGTTAGATCCAAACACCCGTTGTGTGGGAGAAGCATCGAAATGAACTGTTTAATCTGCCCATCATTTGTGTTGAGAGATCAGCAGTGTTTGGATCAGGTTTGGATCAACAAAGGGCGACTACTTTGATAGTAGAAACTGTATTTATGGCTTATTTTTGTGCATTTAAAGTTCAGCCGCCATTGATAGTTGTTAAAAGTTGTTAAACCTGTGCATATGAAACAAAAAACGCTTTTTGTTTATCGATTTATTGTGAAATAATGGAAGTTGTGCTTGCTCCCTTTCCTGTTGGGCGGTTGTGATTTCTGTCCATTGACTGCGGAGGTGCTCCGGCGTCCGGCAAAAATAGGATCGATTCTATTTTTGCCGGATGGCGGAACGGCGGGCGGCGCACTGTGCCACACGGCCGCAGTAGTGGAACACCTCTGATTGACTACAACGGGACAGTTTTTGCTGCGGAGTTCGTGGCGGAGCGGAGATAGTGGAATTTTGGGGTAAGTAAAACATGTGCCTATCCTCAGAAAGTTAAGGTACCGCATTTTCACGACCATAGGGCACACCGTGTTATAGGGCGCAGCTTCAGTTACCGGTGTCTTTTTGGTATTTAACACATACAAAAGGCGCACCGGATTATAGGGCGGGGGCACGGTAAATGTACCGGTAAAACATCTGTGCGGGCTCGAGACTCGGAACATATCCGTGCAAACCAGACATTGTGAAAAATATAAACAGCCAAAAGCATGCTTCACTTTACTGGTCTAGTCCTGTTTCAGACCTCGTTTAGAGTGCACGTGCACTTCCTCATTGCGTGCGCTGAAGGCTCGTGCTCTTCTAATGGGCTCGACACACGGGAGGCAACTTCCCCTTCATTCATTTTCAATGAAACGTGCGCAACAAAGCGATAATCGCGGGTCTCCCTCCTACTAAAGCCGGGCATACACCGGGAGTGCTGCAGGAGGACACACAGGGATTTATGGGGGTTGGATGAGGAAAACGAAATAAAGAAAGTAAATCTGTGTTTTTTGATCAGTTTAATTTGACATGAACATGACAAACACGCTTTCTTGACAATCCTTGTGAATAAAAAAACGTGTAGAAATAAAAACGAACAGCATGTGTTATTGGGGAAATAGCGGGCGAGCAGTCCTGATGCATGGTTGCGCATGCGCCGTGAGCGGTTCTGGTACTTTTTGGGTTGCAGCGCCGCTTCAAGCGCTGATGTGCTGTGTTGAAGTTCAGAATGTGTTTAGTTGGTGGATTTAACCATATAAACTTTCCACATGAACAAAATCATGTGTGTGTTATTAGTAGGCCTAAGAAAATAGTGTATTTGAATTGTGTTTTATTAACCCTCTGGGGTCCGTGGACGCGTATCCGCGTCTTTTGAACAGGTCTGATTTGGGACGCTGTAGCAGCAAGACTCCGCCTCCCTGAGTTTCGGTTTCAATTCAGCTTTAAAAAGGAGATTATAAACTACACCCCAGTTTTTAAATTTTGTTAATAGGCAACGTAAAAGTGGAGTTATACTAAACTAAAAAACGACCTTTTTTTTAGACAATCTGATAACTTGTCAAAACAGCAGTTTAGTAATCCGTGAGAGGGAATGTGCTTGTGAACATAAAAAACTCACAAAAGCGTGAGATCCTTTTGCTGCTGGTGGAAGTCTCACTTATTCAACTGGTAATAAGTATCATTATGTAGCTGAGAGAGAGAGGAAGGCCACATGAGTAACGAGATGTGCACAAAAAGGAGCCGCTTCGCGGGGAAAGGAGTGGCGCCAACAGAGTAACAACAAACAATTAGACAGATATTGACGGTAAACTTCATATTTTGGAGCGATCCGGACAGATATATTGTCGCTGCAGTTTAGTAGGCTTTTATTAGGCTTATATAAGGATGATGAGAAGGATAAATGTCCACCAGGCAGTTCAGATAGTACGGCTGTTATTTGAACTGGAAGCAGAGGAAGTGGACGGAGACTCACAGCCGGAGTCTGAGGCAAATGGCGAGGATGTTGATGACGATGTGGCAGATCCACAGGTCTGTCTTCGCTCACGTCCGCACATTCACGCCACGCCCCTTGTCTTCTTCTACGTTTGCGTCTCACAACAGCACAATAGGCGCACCGCACCATAGGGCGCAGCATTGTGCCCTGCACTGGAGCCCTAGGCCCGGGGGTCGGGCCGGGCTTCGGGCCAACGACTGTGTAATTACCTCGGACACGGGTCGGGCCGGGCGCCTTTATTTTTAATCAAATCCATTAAAAAAACTGAAACACTTAAATGCAGCAGCACCTGCCTGCTTCTCACGCACCGTTAGCTCAGTTAAGGTCTGTGTGGTTTATAGGGATGCAAATTATCGAGTAATTCATTAATCGATTGTTGTTTCATCTTATCGATCGATGATCGATTAATTGATAAGCAGCGATTTTTCTGAAAAATTGAATTAACCTCTGAATAGGTTCCATCTACTATATATGCAACATAAAATGCCATCTTCTATATGATATAAAGAAAAAATGCAAATAATATTCCTTAATCAAAGATTTATTCTGGGATCAGGTTGACGGCAGGGAATAACTTTTGGTAGCAGCTTCTTGAAATGAAAATACATTTGTGCTTCTCATCTGCGACTGCGACATTGGAACATAAATAGCAGCAGCATTCCTGAAAAGAAAAATAGAATATAGGCTACTTTAACATAGTGCACTGTCTCTATGAAGAATAATAAAATAAATTCTGTTAAGCAAATAAGGTGTCGGATGTGGACCATCAGCAGTATTTATAATCCCTTTTTAACTGGGAAATGTGACAATATCACAATTACATTGGTAAACCAAAACTGTAGCTCTAGTTAACTTAATATAGGCTCCCTGATGACAGTCTTCATAAAACAAACAACCAAAACATCCCTAGTGCTTCTCATAGCATAGACAGACTTATCTATTTTTGTTCAAGAATATCAGCAAATCCACATGGTCAGGAGTAAGTCGTGTGCGCAGCCTGTTAACAGTTAGGCCAGCTGCTGAGAATACTCGCTCAGAAGGGACTGATGTGCCTGGTATGGCCAAGTACTTTCGTGCCAGGTTTGCCAGCCTTGGAAACCTTCCTTCATTGACTTTCCACCATGTTGTGGGACTGGAATCAAGGAGTGGTGGCGGATCCTTCAGAAAGCTGTCCACCTCTTTTTCTACATCATCGGTGCTCCTGGTGGTATAGTTTTCACCCATGAGCAAAGCATACACACTGCGTCTCTGAAGTCCAGCTGCCTGGACTGGCACCGCCCGGCCCCCGACCAACTCCTGCTGGCCTCCAATCGCATCTGCTGACGTGGCGCTCTTGCATTCGGCTTCTGCTTCAGTCTCAGCCAGAACTTCAAGCAATTTGGCATGAGCTGTAACCCTCCTTGGTGGGGTCAGAAATCCCAGGTGCTTGTGCCTAGGATCCAGCATGGTTGCTATCATTGGTGGTGTTGACATCAGGTCATCAGAAGCAATCTGTGAAGAAAACAAATAATTATATCTAAAGTGCCTCTTCACTCCCTGAATATTGTAAAGCTGCTGAAATACTGAGCTGCCTTAAATCAAAACTCAACTTTTTAGAATTGCTTTTGAATTATGTCATAGCACATCATTCATCATTTAATTTCTTTTCAACTTGCTGCAACAAGCTAATATCGTACTTTTTTCTTTGCCTTGTCTGCCGTTTTTATATTGCTGTCAAATTGTTTTTCTTTTTTGCAAATTTAATAATTTAAAGCTCCTTGAATAACTGCTGTTATTGTGCTGTAAGTGTGCTATATGCCTTGCCTAAATGTTTGTTTTTAATTTTTTTAAATTGATTAGGTGTTTATTTATTGCCTGATCTTAATTATTAGATCAGATTGGAGTTAAAAACTACCATTGTCAAACAATGTGCTTTGTATGCAATGCATACAGTTAAAAAATATCTGCAATCATTAAATTTAACTTTTAACTTACCTTCATCCTTTCACTCAGTGAAGTGCACACTCTGGATTTGAATTCCCCCACTTTGCTGGTGTCTTCCTCGTCTGTCTTGAGATGCACGTTGATCAGGCTGAAGGTGATGGGATACGTGTCTGATACGGACACCTCATTCTCAGCAGACATGACGGTCGTTGCACACTTGAGTGTTTCCAGCACTGGCGCCACATCCTCCATCAACTGCCAGTATTCATCTCTCAATTCCAGCGTCCTCGCATCTGAGAGTTTGGTTACTGT